GAACCATGGGGGGGGGAATTGTGTACGATGTTTCTAGCCGCAGCACCAGCAGAGCAGAGTGGAGGTCTGTTCAAGTTGGATTTGTTTCGTTATTATGTTCTTTGCGTTTTCTTCGTTCTGCTGTGTTTTGCGTCAAGAATCAAGGGGGAAGGAAATGTGTGTATCCCCCTCCCCTTCAAAGCGTTTCACCTACACGAAGAATCAACATGACATTGTAGATTTCAAAATGAGCGGTAAACAGCCACACTCAAATCTACAGTACACCTTCAACTGTTGAAATATATATATATATATATTTTTTTTTTTTTTTCTTAATATCACACAACAAATCAATCTCTACCTATAGAAATACGCGAAAGCGTCAGCACTACGCTCGTTCGGGACACGTGTCCTTTGACGAACGCAGCTTTAAACTTACCACCTTAGCCGTGGAAAGCTTTGGTCACCTTGGAGAGGAGGGTTACGAGTTCATCGATTAACTTGCGACACATGCCGTGGGAGGAAGGGACGGAGGAACGATGGCTCTGAAAGGAGTCTTCAAGGAACGACTTCTTCAGATCGTTTCGGTGGCTACACAGGTGGCCATATCTCGGCGAGTGCAGAGGTACAAGCTCGCATTGCGCGGGCGTCAAGACGCCGAAAACAGGCGAACAAGATCGACCTCGGACCAGTCAACGCCAATGATATGGGGATGGAGTGTAGACGCATCGTAGAACGCGTTTTCGTTTGAAGTTGGCGTCTTGTTTGAGAGTAGATGTGACAGATTTGCGTAGAATAGGGTAAGATGTTATCATGAACGGAGATGAAAGGGCTTTTCCAACACGGAGATGTAGCATGGATCAAAGCATTAGTTGGATTTCAGCTTTTACAAGAGGACATCAACGCTGTAGTATTTTAGCAAGCTTACGAACGCATATAGGATACCATGAGGATTGTCATTGGTTTTCTTTCAAGTCGAAGAGGAGATATTTTTACGATGTAAGTGACAGTAGAAATAAGTCCTGCATATGTTGTTCTACTTCGTATTGGTTTAATATTCATGTAGAGTATAAGACATTAAGTGAAAGTTTTCTGAGGTACATCTGCAATTGTCGGAAGGCAAAAATAAATAAATATAGCAGAAGAACTCGCGCAAACCGAAAGAGACACAACACAGAGCATTCGATGCCTACAATACAAACATGTAGACGCAAATGTATTTTGGACACCAAAAGAAAGCAAAAAAACATCAGAAAAAAAAAAACTGGTCTGTCCGCATCTCGGTGTCGCTGAATATATTTTCAAGTATCGCGCGAGACNGCAATGAAACCATAGCGTGATCGAAAGGCTACCTATATGTCTACGTTTTTCCAGACAGCATTCAACGATAACTCCCCTGTGGGTAACAGGCTCAACAAGGCAGTTTGGTAGCCATCTTGTTGTTGTTGTTGTTGTTGTTGTTGTT